AGTTAACTCTGTCTCTTACAAAGAAAAATCATCAGTTTCTCTCCCTTTAACTTTTTCATTTATAAATTTGAGATAACATAAGCTAGCTCCTAATATGATTGTAAAGATTAAAAAATAATACAGATATCTATAATTCTGTCAACAATAAAAATAAATAAAAAATGGTAATATAGATATCACATGGAATACCTTATAAAATCTCAATAAACATTAAAGGAGCAATGCTCCTCTCTTAAAAAATTTTTTTTTCTTTATTGATTTTAGAGAGGGGAAGGGAGGGAGAGAGAGAAACACCGATGGGAGAGAACATTGATTGGCCACCTCCTGCATGTTCCCCACTGGGGATCAGGCCCACAAGCTGGGCATATACCCTGACCAGGAATTGAACCAGTGACCTCTTGGTACATGGGTCAACACTCAACCGCTGAGCCACACCAGCTAGGCTCATCCTCCTTTCTTATAACATACTTGGAGTGGACCAAGCCTTCAATAAACCCATGGATTTCTCTTATAAAAGTACAAATAGCAAGTTCAGATAAGGCAGCCTTCATATTTCAAGAAATGTGACATCCAGTGTTGACAGTAGGGCAAGGAAGAAGGTGGCCATTGTATAAGGTAAAAAATAATAAATATCATACAGGGTTTGAGAGAAAGAAAATAATAAAATCTATTTAGGGACTTTAGAGAGATACTTTCATAAAATAGGTATTGTTTTTACTTGGCCTTGGATAACAGAATATCTGGAGACACATTTCAACAGAGAGGAGTTTTATTCAGGAGATAAAAGTCTGACAAAACAAAGAGTTCAGAATGTAATGCTGAGTCAATGACAGAGTACATTTTTAACTGAGCAAATACTGTATAGTGTGTGTGTGTGTGTGTGTGTGTGTGTGTTGCATTGTGTAAATAGGTAACTTGGCATAGATGGAAAATTGGTAAGACGTGGTCTATATCCTGAATGTGTTTTCAGAGGAGCTTCAGTGTGGCAGGATAATAAGCTATGATAGGTTTCTCCAACAGCTCAGAAATGGTAGATAGGATCTCAGAAAATTGTAGAAGCAAGAAGTAAGCATGATTAGAGCCTGCCCCACCTGTATTGCATGCTAGTATTTTGCACATGAAAAGATCAAAACCATTATCAATCTTTTATTATTTTTTTCTGTTCATTAGCATATTTTCTGAATCCTCAACTGAATTCCCACCTTAAAAAAATGTGCTTGGATTTGCCCTAGGTGTTGAAAACTAATTGTCTACATAAACTTATTCAAAAATAAAATGAAAACCAGATAGTTGCTAGCATCAAGACCTGTTCAATCTGACCAATTAAAAATACCTGACATAAAGTCTGAGAAATGGGGTAGTCCCAGAGACGTGGAAGTGGGGTACAGATTGACAATCCCCAGAAGAGAGGGTGGTGGGGGAGAGATAAACCACAGAACTTATATGCATGTATGCATGAACAATGGACATGGACAACAAAGCTGGGGACAGGGCAGGGTGGGAGGGGGAGGGGGGATCAGTGGGGTAAAAAATAATAAATATCATACAGGGTTTGAGAGAAAGAAAATAATAAAATCTATTTAGGGACTTTAGAGAGATACTTTCATAAAATAGGTATTGTTTTTACTTGGCCTTGGATAACAGAATATCTGGAGACACATTTCAACAGAGAGGAGTTTTATTCAGGAGATAAAAGTCTGACAAAACAAAGAGTTCAGAATGTAATGCTGAGTCAATGACAGAGTACATTTTTAACTGAGCAAATACTGTATAGTGTGTGTGTGTGTGTGTGTGTGTTGCATTGTGTAAATAGGTAACTTGGCATAGATGGAAAATTGGTAAGACGTGGTCTATATCCTGTATCCCACTTCCAGGTCTCTGGGACTACCTCATTCCTCAGACTGTTATGTTCATTATATGAAATGTCTTAATAGTTGTATTCAGAATAGTACCTGGCACATATGGATTGGTCAATAAGAAGGTTGCTGATATTTGGCAGAACTCAGGTGTGATTTTATTTATTTATTTTTATCCTCAACCAAGGACATTTTTTTTTTTTTCATTTTTTGTTCAGATAGAGCCGGGAGGGGGAGAGAGGGAGAGAGAGAGAGAGAGAGAGAGAGAGAGAGAGAGAGAGAGAGAGAGAAACACCAATGTGAAAGGGGCACATCAAGTGGCTGCCATCCACACGACCAACCAGGGCCGGGGACAAACTGCAACTGAGGTACGTGCCCTTAGCGGGATCCGAACCTGAGTCTCTCTGGACCGCAGGCCGATGCTCTAACCGCTGAGCAAAACTGGCCAGGGCTCAGGTGTGATTTTAGATCCTAAATCCTTGAGGAAGGAGTTTTGGAATATAAGATGGGCAATGTTCATGAGACCTATTTACAGATTTCATAACATCAGTGTGATCTCTGGTTCACAGAGCAATGATTGGAAGAAGCATATAAAGCCCTGTAATTCATCATGAACTCTGAAGGAATAATGTTGGACTATAATGATATATACCAAGTTTGGAAAATGTTTCCCCTTTTTATATTTCATAGAAGTCATTAATTATTTGAATCCCAAGATGGCAGTGTTTTCTTGATATCTTGTTGGTGTCCCACAGAGATCAATGATTGTTTAGGGATGCTTAAAAAACATGGACCCCAGGGATACACACACACACACACAAACCCCATAAAGCCTGTAACATTTGCCATCATAACATCTTCAGAAACAGGGGATGCAGTGTCTATTCCACAGGTTGATTGTTTGAACTATACTGTCTAGTTTTGGGGGAGTAGGTATACATGATATTTTCTGGGATCTGGAAGCTCGTTCTGTTTGTTTTCTCCTTGAGGTAATTTATTACAGCCATGTGTAAGAGAAGAAAGAATTGAAAGGAGGGTAGTATTATTAGACATATTTTTTAAAATCTGTATTTAGCCCTCTCTTAATTAGTGTCTTAAGAAATGTCATGTTTTGAGCACTCCTTTGTTAAATATTTTATCTGTGTATTGGGAAATGACCTTAGTGAAAAATGGGAACAATCTACTTTGCAGAACCAAAGCTCTTGAAACGGCTCTTAGTATAAAAGGGAAGACGACGCACAGATTGGGAAGAATGCTTGATTTCTCTCTCCTTCCATCTTCCCACTCTCTCACACTAATTCCATCCACAAAACTTGGTAAAAGTTGCACGGAGGTCCTCCTGAGGGTCACCAAGTGGCAGTAGGAAGCCCTGAGGACGACTCATGGAAGAACACAGACATTTGAACCACCTCTGAAGCAGAAAGGAGAGGAATTATTTGGCTGTGTGCAAAACACTTTGAGTTGTCTCTCCATAGCAGGTTTCTCAACTTTGATACTGTTGATATTTTGGGCTAAATAATATTTTGATGTTTGCATGTGTTGTTGGTATGTGTGTTGGGGGAAAGGGGGTGCTGTTTTGTGCATCATAGAATGTTTAGCTGCATCCCCAGTCTCCACCTGCAAGGTGGCACCCCTCACTATTGTGACAACAAATAATGTCTCCAGACACTGACAAATGTCTCATGGAAATACAAGTCACTCCTGATTAAGAACCATTACTCTATAAGAGATCAGCAGCCTGATTTTTCTTTTTTAAAAAATCATTTATGTGGAATACTGCATTCCTAGATGATGTCTATTAAGAAAGGTATAATTATAATAAAAATAATCATACAGGAGATGGTGGTTGAAACTGTTGGTGAAAAATAAGTCTTCACATGGAACAAATATCTTTGAACATCTTTAGACTTGAAAACAGAAAAATGTTTTGCGAAATTATGTACTACTTTGCACTCAGAAAAAGACAACTTACTTTTACTGGCCAATGAAGAGAGAAAACCATATCATCAGATTAACTATTTGTTTTTAAACTGGGGTTTCCTAAAACACACATACTTAACTTCTTTCAGTTGAAGAATGAGGACAATACCTGGTTGTGTTGGGTTTCAGTTCTTTCTGAGTCAACTCTATAACACATTTTTTGAGAATTCATGCAAACTTTTATATTGCTTGTTTAAAAAATGATTGGAATCAAACATTTACATTTTATATATGTCATGAAGATTAGATATTCAATTGAAATTATGTATACATATATAATATCTGTGCAATCTGGCTTACTAGTTTTTAACTTGTCATTTTAGTATAATCAATTTTCAAGTCATTAAAGTTATTAAAAATATCATTTTAATAGCTGTGTAATTTTCCATAATATACATATCCCATAACTCTGACCACCTCCCTCCTGCTTGACACTCTATTTCTAAGTTTTACTATCATCAATAATGCTGCAATGTGGCAGCAAACATTTTAGTTTATAATTTTGTATTCACATCTTTGATTAGTTCCTGCAATAGGTATAAAGCAGTAAAAGCATTTGTCAAATTGGTCCTTATAAGGCTTCAGAGTCATAGTTGCAGAAAGTTTGAATCGAAGAGAATCAATTACCTAAATAGTGTCTGACACTAAATATCTAATTAACAAAATCACTATGCTAATTTTATAGAACATGCATAAAAGCTGCTTTTGCTATCTAAAACATTGATAAAAACAACAAGTGATTTTATCAGTCTTAAATATGCATGCTTCTCATCATTTCACTGGAAAACGGTTGCATAATTAAAATAAATTATTTCCTGGGATCCAAATCTTTCCAGTATTGACTAAAAACTCAGCCAGAAAAAGGAGATTTAAATTTCATAAAACAACATGGATAACTAAATAATATGAGATGATTCACTTCCAGGCCCAAAATTGTGGAGGACTAGTTTCAGGAATCCGTGAATTAAACTGTGAGCTCTATGGATTTATATGCGATAATGTTTGGACGTTTCCTAAAATTCACAAGAACAATGTCCTATTTGCTGAAATAGTGACCTTCGTATTTATTCTCATGTCTTTTAGGAGACAATGAAAACTGAATTTTGGATCATATAATGGAGAAAAACTGTTAATATTTTTCTCCAACTGCAATATAGTGGGGACATGGGCCAGGAAAACTGTACTGCCGTGACAGAGTTCATTCTTCTTGGATTAACAGATGTCCCTGAGCTGAGAGTATTTCTTTTCATGGTGTTCCTTCTGATCTATGGAGTCACAGTTTGGGGCAACCTGGGCATGATGGCACTGATTCAGGTCAGCTCTCGACTTCACACTCCCATGTACTTTTTCCTCAGCCACCTGTCCTTTGTGGATTTCTGTTACTCCACGATCATCGTGCCAAAGATGCTAGCTAATATCTTAAATGAAGACAAAACCATCTCCTTCCTGGGATGCATGGTGCAGTTTTATTTATTTTGTGTGTATGGAATCACTGAAGTCTTCCTGCTGGCTGTGATGGCCTATGACCGCTTTGTGGCCATCTGTAACCCACTGCTGTACACGGTCACCATGTCCCGGAATCTCTGTGTAGAGCTGGTGTCTTGCTGCTACCTCGGTGGGACTGTGTGTTCTCTGATTCACTTGTGTTTAGCTCTTGAGATCCCATCCTACAGATCGAATGTGATTAACCATTTCTTTTGTGATCTGCCCCCTCTCTTATCTCTTGCTTGCTCTGATGTCACTGTGAATGAACTGTTGCTATTCATTGTGGCCTCTTTCAATGAGTTCACCACTATTGTGATCATCCTCACCTCCTATTTGTTTATTCTCATCACCATCCTGAGGATGCGCTCTGCAGAGGGTAGACGCAAAGCCTTTTCCACCTGTGCCTCCCACCTCACAGCCATTGTTGTCCTCCAGGGGACAATCCTATTCAGTTACTGCCAGCCCAGTTATGGCAACAGTAGAGATACTGACAAGGTGGTCTCAGTGTTCTACACTGTAGTGATTCCCATGCTGAACCCCCTGATCTATAGTCTAAGGAACAAGGATGTGAAAGAAGGTCTCAGAAAAGTGGTGAGCTCCAAAACACTTTTCTAGAGAATATTTTCTCAGCAGGAATCAGGGTCTCATAGTGGAGGCTGGTGGAGGGATGGGGATAAATCGGTAAGTTTAGTGTTTGAATGGAGAGAACAGCCAGGGGGTAGGTCTTTATGAGTGAGTTGTTTTGATTCACTTACACTTATACTTTGTTTTGATTACCTACCAATCAGCACAAATATTATTAATTCATTTGGCAACTTGATCAAGTATATATCCTCAATTCTTTTCATCGGCCCTCTAGGCAGTCTTCACAAATAACTGAGTAGATTTGTTGTAAGTATTGAGGGCTAATTGTTTTCCTTGGGCTGGAATGTTGTTTCAAATTAAATGTAAATTTTAATGATCATCTAAACAAAGAAATAACAAATCTAGTAAATTTTGTATAACAGGGAGGATTACTAATAGTAGTAATATTTATTAAAAGATGCTCTCATAGAAACAGGTATCTAATTTTTAAAATTCTATAATATCACATTTTTAAATTCAATTATCACTTTTGCTTGAATTACTTATATTTCCTTCTTTTGTCCACACTGTTTATACTTGGATAAAATTCTTAATTTTTCAGAAACTAAGTGGGAAGAAAATTCTAGTTTTTTTTTTTTTTTTTTGTGTGTGTGTGTGAGGGTAAAATGAAACCTGGACAGCAATCTTAAATTGGTTCATGAAATAATTTGTTAAACTTAAATGATAAATTAAGGTAACAAATTTTCAAATATTTTACATATGTAATGGTAACCAAAATGTTTTATATATTTACAAATAAGCTACCTTCCTTTGTATATTGTTACCAACTTAATTTATAACTCACCTGGAACAACTGGAGAATTAGCAAAAATGTTATATTGCTTTTGATTGGAATCAATGAACAGTTCGTGTTTCAAATGTTGAGTCTTAATGTTTTTTTTGTTTGTTTGTTTGTTTATTTTGGCGTAGGATGATTACATTTTTATGAATGTAGAGTTATAGACTTTAATTTTTATTTTGAGGAAATGAAAAAACATAGTTTAAGTGCTGTGATCAATGTATTAAAATTAGTGAGTGACAAAATAAAGATAATACATTGAGATTTCAACCACAGAAGAACTACACTTTTCAATAAACACCAATGTGACATTTCCTATTATTCCATTTGGTCATTCCACATTTCAAATAGTTTGGCATTTCTTACAGTTGCTATGCAGACCATGATTTATATTAGTATTATTTTTTTCCCCCTCATGTGCCTCTTAAATACATTAATTTTTGAAATCTATATATTTATTAAAATTTATAATTGACTTCTAAACTAATCCATCACAAATTTAACTTCCAAAAGAAAACCTATTATTTTCGGTGTATACCATAGCTCTTAGATTCATCAGGATTAATTTGAAACACATGGATCATGAGATTTCACACCATTTCTCAAGTCATGTTTAATTGTAGCTACTCTACAGAACTGTATTTGAATGACTTGTATTTCTTTTTCTTTTTCTTTATTGTCCTTGCAGTGGGTAGGACTCCCAATTCAATGTTGAATAGACAAGGCTAGAATGGATCCTTATCTTGCTTCTGATCTTACAGAAAATGTTTCAGTTTTCATCACTGAGAATCATGTTAGCACTAGGCTTGATACATATGGCGTTTATTACGTTGAGGTACTTTTCATATTTTATTATAGATACGGGACAGTGGAAGGAGGATCTGGCTGTGGAAATATTTGGAAATAATTTTAAGTACAAGATGTCCTTTACAATGTAGTCTGAATTGTAACAGAGTATGAACTGTTATTTGTTGTATGCTCTTATTATCACACCACTATATTTGAGGATAAATTGGTGGTAGACTACTTGATAGGCAGAGTCGATTACAAATGTTCATGATTGCTTTTCATCACTGTTCATTTTGATAATTTAATAGATATAATTATACCCCTTTTATTTGTTTTTAAAGACATATCTGGTGATATATTTATTTTAAAATGGAATTCTTATGCAGTCAGTAAATTTACTTTCTCAGATTCAGAGAAGTTTTAGAAAGTCTTTAGTATTATTCCTTAACTACAACTTTATTTTTCTTAACTAATTATTTTTTATTTATTAATTTGTTATTGTTACAGTTGATTCTCATTTTCCCCCTATTGACACCCTCCTCCCCTTACCCCCTGCCTCATCCCCAGCTTTGTAGTCTATGTTCATTAGTCATGCATACATGCATGTAAGTTCTGTGGTATATCTTCCCCCCCAACCCTCCCTCCTCTCAGGCTTGTCAGTCTGTACCCCACCTCTATGTCTCTAGGTTAATTTTGTTCAGCAGTTTATTTAGTTCATTATATTCCACAAATAAGTGAGATCATGTGATATTTGTCTTTTTCTGCATTGCTTGTTTAGCTTTGCATAATACTTTCCAGGTCCTTCCATGCCATCTCAAAGGATAAGAGATCTTTCTATCTTACAGCTGCATAGTCTTCCATTGTGTACATGTACAAAAGCTTTTTAATCCACAAATCTACTGAAGGACACCTGGGTTGTTTCCAGATCTTAGCTATTGAAAATAGAGCTGCTATGAACACAGAGGTACATATATTCTTTCTGATTCGTGTTTCAGGCTTCTTAGGGTATATTTCTAGAAGTGTGATCACTGGGTCAAATGGCAGTTCAATTTTTAATTTTGGGGGGAAACACCCTACTGTTTTCCATAGTGGCTGCACCAGTCTGCATTCCCACCAGCAGTGTACTAGAGTCCCCTTTTCTCCACTCCCTCACCAACACTTGGTTGATGATTTGTTGATGGCAGCTATTCTGACAGGTGTGAGGTGATACCTCATTGTTGTTTTAATTTGCATCTCTCTGATGATTAGTGATGTTGAGCATTTCTTCATGTCTCCTAACCATTTGTATGTCTTTTTGGAGAGGTGTCTATTTAGGTCCTCTGCCCATTAAATAACAACTTTAAAAGGCATATTATAAGTACACTTAGTTGAATCTTGTTTAAACCAATGTAATCATCCCAGCCAGTGTGGCTCAGTGGATTGAATATCCTCCCATGGACTGAGAGGTCCCAGTTCAATTCCTGGTCAGGGCACAGGTCCCGGTTTCCGGCTCGATTCCCAGTAGGGGTCATGCAGGAGGCAGCCAATCGATGTTTCTCTCTCACATTGATTTTTCTCTCTCTCTCTCACTTCCTCTCTCTCTAAAAGAATCATTAAATCATATTGAATAAACCGATGTAGTCAGACTTTTAGTTGAAGTGTAGGTGATAGTAAACTAGAAAGAAATTTGCTTCCTATATTATAATACAAGAAGTTCGATATTCTGTAAGCTTAAAACTCTTCTGGAATCCATCAGATAGTTGAGGTCACTGAATATCCAAGTAACAAAAGAATAAAGTTTCCAGTAACTGAATCCCATTGTTAGGTGAAGAGAAAGAATCTAGAGAGTGGTTCATATGCAAAAAGAAGACCTAAAGTTTAGGATGGATTACATATTGAGAATCTCTGGCAAACCAACTCCCACCATCAAATAAGATGACAACATATCAACTTGAAGTTTGTGGAACACAGTGGTAATCATATCATCAAGAAAAACTAAAGCCCAGCTTAAAGTACTACACATTAAGATAGAAATCATTTTCAGACAGAATGCCATTTTCTTGAGTCTCTATTGACCTTAAAATGATATGCAGTAAAGAAAAACGTAGACATAGCACAGACAAGCAGGACAAAAATGACTGGTTACAAGAAAACAAAGACATTAAAAGACTTAGATTTGGATGATGACTCGGATGTTAGAGATACCAGATAGGCTATCTAAAATAACTATAATTCTATGGGTACTAGTGGAAAAGGTATCAACATAGATAAACAGATGAGGAATTTCTACAAAGTCATGGAAACTAATTTTGAAAAAATAAATTTGCTAGAAATAATGATAAAAAACAGAGATAAATATGAATATAGAAGTAGTCTCAACATACTCAAGGAGAGCATTAGTGAACATGCAGACAGATCAATAGAAATTACTCAAAAAGACATGCAGAGAACAAAAAAGAAGAAACAAAGGAAATATTTAAGCTGAACAACAATATCACATAGTCAAAATAACTATATTTGAAAACACTAGAATTAAAGTAAAAGGAGGTCAGGGCAGGTGAAATATGTGTAGTGATAATGGCTATGAATTTTCTAAAATTGATAAAAGACACCAAACCATAGGTCCAAGAATCTCAGATAACAACAAACAGAATGAACACACACACACACACACACACACACACCACAGAAGGAAAATAAATGAAACATTAAATATTGAATGCAAGACACATTGCATATGAGGAAATGATTTTCAACTACAGCTGTCTTAACCTTGACTAATTTACTTGTGCAGTGATGGCAGTTGCACTCTAGGATGTTAAGCAGCGTCCATGGCCTCTACAAACTAAATGCCAGCAGCATCTCCTTCTAGTTATGACTATCAAAAACAATCCACAGCCCTGGCCAGGTGGTTCAGTTGGTTGGAGCATCATCCAGTACAACGAAAAGGTTGTGGTTTGATTCCCCATCAGGGCACATACCTAGGTTGTGGGATCCATCCCGTGTTGGGGCGCCTAAGAGAGGCAACCAATCCATGTTTCTTTCTCACATCAATTTCTCTCTCTCTCTCTCTCTATTCCAAATCAATAAAAATGTATCATTAGGTAAGAATTCAAAAATGTACAAATTGATAGTTTAAAAACAGTCATAAGAATGTGAAGTACAACATAAGGAATATCGTCGGTAATATTGTAATAACTACGTATGGTGGTTCCTGGATACTAGATACTAGTTACTTGGACACTGGAAATATTGGAGGGAACGCTTTGTAAAGTATGTGGGCTCACTATTAATGGTGGATTTAAAACCTCAGAGTGGGTATTTAAAGTGCAGGAAGAGAAAGAAAAAGTAGCTTTTATGGTCAGTTATTCAAATCAACCAAGATCTCAAAAACAAAGCAGCCTAGCGAGGGAAGGTGGCCTGGCTCTTTGTCTAGTTATGTGGATGAGTGTTCATTCTTCTTTGACATGGATGCCTCTTTGGAATGGATGGCTCCAATCAGAGTTTAAATCAGTCACTTGAGTATAAAAAAAATATAATAGTGCTGGTGAAGAAAACTGAAGTATAACCTTAGTCAAGCTGCCAGATGAATTGATAATATATTTATGTTGGTCAGTAGGTGATAGAAAGGAAGCATAAAACAGAACATGAATATATTTTCTTTGTTGTTGTTCACACAATTTCAAAGAGCAAGCTAATATTCTTAAACCTCTTATATATCCTTTTATTGGTTATCATGATGGTGAAATGAGTCAATATTGTATAATATTTAGAGAAGATTCTAACACAGAACAGGTGTCCAATGAATGTGAACTATTATACAGTTTTCTGACCAGTAATTTCATTACTTTTATGGTATTTAAGGAATTCTGGTGTGGCTTTGGTCACTGTGCCCTATGGAAATTTAGGAGATTTTTTAATAGCACACAAAATGGAGAATTTATAAGAAATATTTGTGTTATTGTGGCAATAACAAGCTGCCACATATACACCACCAGGGTGTAATATTATAATGCATCATAAGATCCAGAAGAAGGTATGTTTGATTGTAAATGGTTTTTTCCCAAACGGGGTAATTTAAAATGATGATATTCCATAGAGATTAATTATTATTTATGTTACATCACACATTGTTCTAGTTTACTGTTTATATATTTTTGTTATACCATAGAAATTAATAACTGATTTGCAACTTGAGGGCCCCATTCCCCAGGAGCTTAAATTATAGTAGAAGTCTCTAGTTGTACACTAGACTAGTCCTAACGTGGTCACTGCCATGGAGGAAATGTCTGTCTTTCAGGTTTGTTAGCTGAAACTAAGTTCTGGCTCCTTGAAAATTAAAATGCATATATCTTCCCAGAAAACATTATTTTCAAGCTGTAACTAACTAACTTGTCTTCTCATTAGAGAATGATTTCACAGACCATAATCCTGTGCACTTACTGTTTCAAATGTTTTTGCCTTGTAGTCTTGAGAGATGGTTGGTGGTGAAATGAGGACAGTTTCATCTGGAACACCAAACGCTGATGTGTATGAAAGAATACAGAGTAAACAAATGGTAGTCTCTTTCTCATGCTTTGCTATTTTGTGTCATACTGCTTTTCGTCATGAAATCTAAAATTTATGACCATGGAGGAACTCCCTAATTCTTTTTTTTATATTAATAGAGTTACTTTTATAATTATTTTTAATTAAATTTATTGGGGTGACATTGGTTACTAAGATTATATAGGCTTCAAGTGTAGATTTCTATGATACTTCATTTGCTTATTGCATTGTGTGCCCACCATCCAAAGTCAGGTCATCTTCTGTCACCACGTACTTGACTCCCTTTACCCTCTACCACTCACCCACAACCTTCCCTCTGGCAAATTGTCAGGACCTGAGGAATATCTCTGTTCATTAAATGAGGTCTTTAAGCTTTGTTTTGGGTTTACCATAAACCAGTTTCTTATTATCAGCCTACAACACAAAAAGAATTTTTTCCAGGTTGATTTCCTGGCTTAACTCTTGAGTGGGCAAATAATTCAGCATTTTGGAGTGATTTTTTTTGGTCAAGTAATGAGGAAACCACAACTTCAGGAAGGTGGTTAGCACCCACTTTAAAATTAGCTCAAGGTATGGAGAAAATATCAGGTTGTGTTTTCAGTCCAGAATCTCTTCACTCAATTGCCAATGCATATATGTTTAGTATGTCATGGGCATAAGATAAAGAATACAATTCTTTAATTCCTTATGCCTTTTCTTCTAGGACAGGTGTGAATGGATGTAGTTTTTCACAATTTTGTGAATGTGATTCATATATTGTATTAAAATCTCACATTAAAATATAGGAGAGCTTTGATTGCTGTCAGGATTAAGTCTTCTTACATAAGCAGCCTAATTATTTTCCAGAAAAATTTATAGAAAAGTTTCATCTTCTTGAATCCTTATTAGCATAGGTCATAACTAGCATAATTGATTAAACCTCTTTGTTAATTATATCTGAAAATAATCATTGTAATTTTGTATTTTAATTTTCTTTTCCATAATTCCCAATTTAAAGGGTTTTCATGGAGTCACAAATATAAAAAATTAGTCACCTCAAAATTGGGGTTGTGAAGAACTTTGTCTGCTTCAAATTTATGTTTTTTGACAGATTCAACTAAAAAAGTATATATTTCACAGAATCACAGTAGGTGTAACCCTTGTGGACAGAGTACTTTCTTCCAGCGAACAGGAGTTAATTTTGTGTGACTGATGTGTGTCATTAAATCTGCTTTGAACCATTGAACTTCCACTGATCATCTCAATATATTGTGATCAATAAAGGTTGGAATCATTGGGCATTTCTGGAGATGTTTAAGTCAATTTTGATCAATGGGACCCACTAGACAATTAATACTTTTAATTATAGGATAATTTGATTTCTATCATACCTAATAAATACACTGCTTCATAGATACCAATGTTATGTTCTTCTGTAGTTATTTACCCATCGTTGTCCTCCTCTTTTTGTCTTTCTAGAAGCAACACAAAACTTATCATTTGGTTTCCCAACCTGACATATAGTGGAAATGGGGGAGGAGAATTGCACTTCTGTGACAGAGTTCATTCTTCTTGGATTAACAGATGTCCCTGAGCTGAGAGTATTTCTTTTCATGGTGTTCCTTCTGATCTATGGAGTCACAGTTTGGGGCAACCTGGGCATGATGGCACTGATTCAGGTCAGCTCTCGACTTCACACTCCCATGTACTTTTTCCTCAGCCACCTGTCCTTTGTGGATTTCTGTTACTCCACGATCATCGTGCCAAAGATGCTAGCCAATATCTTAAACGAAGACAAAGCCATCACCTTCCTGGGATGCATGGTGCAGTTTTACTTGTTTTGCACGTGTGTGGTAACTGAGGTCTTCCTGCTGGCCGTGATGGCCTATGACCGCTTTGTGGCCATCTGTAACCCACTGCTGTACATGGTCACCATGTCCCAGAATCTCTGTGTAGAGCTGGTGTCTTGCTGCTACCTCGGTGGGACTGTGTGTTCTCTGATTCACTTGTGTTTAGCTCTTGAGATCCCATCCTACAGATCGAATGTGATTAACCATTTCTTTTGTGATCTGCCCCCTCTCTTATCTCTTGCTTGCTCTGATGTCACTGTGAATGAACTGTTGCTATTCATTGTGGCCTCTTTCAATGAGTTCACCACTATTGTGATCATCCTCACCTCCTATTTGTTTATTCTCATCACCATCCTGAGGATGCGCTCTGCAGAGGGTAGACGCAAA